TTATGCCCACTGGACACTGCAAACTTATGAGAGTTTGTCAATTTAACAAAGAAATTAATATGTACTAGGCTTGTTATCCCAAGGGGAATCTCTGACATGCTTTAAACCAAACGCACTGCTTCAGAGTGGAATAAACAAACAAACTTATTTGCTACCAAGGTAGATTTTAAGTGATTATAAGTCAGAGCCAGATTTGGTCAAATGAAACAAAAGCAAAACCCATTCTAACTTTGCATTAGATATCACACAATCATATTATAAGGATGAACATGGAGGTGCTGAGTGTTTGCCCGAGGTACAGAACATCACAGTAACATACCATAGGCCTCCTTACCTAAGGCACAGCGACCTCTGGGTAACATACCATGGGGTTCCTTCTGCAGGGCACAGAGACCTCTGGGTAATGCACCATGGGACGCCTTACCTAGGACATGGCAACCTCTGCCTAACATACAATTGGGCACCTTACCCAGGGCACAGTGACCCCTGGGTAACGTACCATGGGCCTCCTTACCTGGGGCATGCGACCCCTTGGTAACATACCATGGGGTGCATTACCTTGGATTCGGTGACCCATGGACAATATTCCATGTAGTGCCTTCCTCGGGGCACAGTGACCCCTGGGTAACATACCATGGGGTGCCATACCCCAGGCATGCGGTCCCCTGGGTAATGTATCGTGGGGCACCTCACGCAGGACACGGTGACCCCTGGGTAACGTACTTTGGGGCATCTTATCCGGAGCACAGTGATCCATGGGTAATGTACAATGGGGCTCCTTACCTGGGGCATGGTGACACCTGGGGAACGTACCATGGGGTGCCTTACCCGTGGCACGGTGACCCCTGGATAAAGTACCTTAGGGCCCATTACCCAGTGCATGGCAACCCTGGGTAACGTACCATGGGATTCCTTACCCAGGACACGGCGACCCCTCCGTAATGTACCATGGGGTGCCTTACCGGGGCATGGTGACCCCTGGATAACGTACCATGGGGCGCCTTTCCCAGGGATCAGTGACCCCTGGATAATATACCAGGGAGTTCCTTACGCAGGGCATGGCGACCCCTGGTAACATACCTTAGGGATCCTTAGCCGGGGCATGGCAACCCCTGGGTAACATACCATAGGGTGCCTTACCTAGGGTATGGCAACCCCTGCATAATGTATCATGGAGTGCCTTACGCAGGGCATGGCAACCCCTGCGTATTGTACCATGGGGTGTCTTACGCAGGGTATGGCAACCCCTGGGTAACGTACAATGGAGCTCCTTATGAGGGGCACACGGTAATGGGTGTAGTGGGTATGGGTAATGTATTGTGGAACACCTCTCGCAGGGCATGGTGACCCCTGGGGCACGGTGACCCCTGGGGCACATTACCTTGGGCACAGTGACCCATGGATAACCTACCATTCAGCTCCTTCTGCAGTGCACGGTGACCCCTTGATGACATACCATGGGGTGCCTTCCCCAGGACATGGTGACCCCTGGGTAACTTACCCTGGAGCGCCTTACCCAGGGCACGGTGCCCCCTGGGTAACATACAATGGAGCCCCTTATGAGGGGCACAGTGACCCCTGGGTAATGTACCATGGAGCACCTTTCCTAGGGCATGGTGACCCCTAGGTAGCATATCATGGGGCGCCTTACCTGGGGCACGGCGACCCTTGTGTAATGTACCATGGTGCGTCTTACACAGGGCAGGGTATGGCAACCCCTGGGTAATCTACCGTGGGGTGTCTTACACAGGGCAGAGCAACCCCTTGGTTATCTACTATGGGGTGCCTTACACAGGGCATGGTGATCCCTAGGTAACATACTGTGAGCACCTTACCCAGGGCACAGTGAGCCGTGGATAACGTACCATGGGGCGCCTTACCAAGGGCATGTTAACTCCTGGGTAACGTAGCATGGGGAGCTGTACCAGGGGCACAGTGACCCCTGGGTAACGTACCATGGAGCTCCTTTCCCAGGGCAGGGTGACCCCTAGGTAAATCTCCATGGGGCGCCTTATGCAGTGGACGGCAACCCCTGGGTAACATACCATGGGGCACCTTACCTGCAGCATGGTAATCCCTGGGTAATGTACCATGGGGCTACTTTCTGAGGGCACGGCTACCCCAGGGTAAAGTACCATGGGGCTCCTTACCCAGGGCAGGGAGACACCTGGGTAATGTACTGTGATGGGTTGGGTCCCAGAGACCCCCTTGGGACTGCCACCTGATGTGCTGAGACTACCTCTGAGCCCATTTTCCCTTGCAGCTTGGGACTTCAGTACCCTGTCTTGTTGATCCTGTCTTGCAAAATCTGTAGCCACCTGGGCAAGTCACATGTCTATGAATGATTCAGCTTTTTGCCTCAGAGATATTCCAATAAGCTTCTTTCACAGACTAGACTCCTTCCTAGTCTGGGTCCAGCACTCACTCACACCCACATAGTTACTGTCCTTTGTACCAGTTTCTTTGTTTTGAGCCAGCTGAAGACAAAATGGAGGGGTTTCCAGGGCCTTTTATATTCTTTCTCTTGTGGGCGGAAACCCCTTTGTTCGCCTGTTCAAAATCACAGTAACAAGATGGAGTCTGTAGCTACCTGGGCAACTCACAAGTCTATGAACAATTCAGCTTTTTGCAGGCCGATGCCATTGTTTACATGTTAGTTTGAACGTCCCCAGGAAAGCTCAGATGTGGATTGGCATCTTCCAAAATCCATTGCTAGTTAAGTACTCCCAATTACTTGAATAACCCCTTCACATTATGTTGACCAAATCTGCCTTATGTGCTTCCTACAGCAAACACTTTAAATACAAGCATAGAGCCAATGCTCATAACTTCAGATATAAAAATGATACATGCATACAAATAGGATGAATATATTCAGTAGCTCATAAGCTTTGCAAAAATATGTTAAATTGCATATCTAGCATAAAACATATTCCAGTTATGTCATATTTACACTCATAAGCATATTTCTACAAAGCATTATGGGGTGCAAAATCACATGCACCATGGGGCACCTTACCTGGAGCACAGTGACCCCTTGGTAACTTACCATGAGGTGCCTTACCCAGGGCATGTTGACTCCTTACCCAGGTCACAGTGACTCCTGGGTGACGTATTATAGGGGACCTTACCTGGCATACGGTGACTCCTGGATAATGTACCATAGGGCTCCTTTTCCAGGGCACAGCGACCCCTGGGTAGCATACCATGGAGCGCCTTACTTGAGGCATGGCAACTCCTGCATAACATACCATGGGGCGCCTTACCCGGGGCACGGTGCCCCACAGAAACATACCATGAGGCACCTTACCCGGGGCACGGTGCCCCAAGGTAACATACCATGGGATGCCTTACCCGGGGCACAGCGCCCCACAGTAACATACCATGGGGCCCCTTGCCCAGGGCACGGTGACTGCTGGGTAACGTACCATGGACAGATTTATGCAGGGCAGTACGACTGCTGGGTAAGGTACCATGGGGTGCTGTGCACGGGACATAGTAACCCCTGGCTAATGTACCATAGTGCGCCTTACCTGGGGCACAGCGACCCCTGGGTAATGTATCATGGGGCACCTTACGCAGGGCACTGTGACCCCTTGATAACATACCATGGGATACCTTCCCCAGAACATGGTGACCCCTGGGTAATGTACCATGGGGCATCTCATGCAGGGCAGGGTGACCCCTTGGTTATATACCATGGAGCACCTTACCCGGGACAGGGTGTGACCCCTGGGTAACTTACCATGGAGCGCCTTACCCGGCGCACAGTGACTCCTGGGTAACGTAAAATGGCACGCCCTACCCAGGGCACGATGATCCCTGGGTAAATTACCACAGGGCTCCTTATCCAGGGCCCAGTGTCCCCTGGGTTACGTACCATGGGGCGCCTTTCTTCGAGCATGGTTACCCCTTGGTACCATACCATGGAGCACATTACCCAGGGCATGGTGAGCCGTGGGTAATGTACCATGGGGCATCTTACCTGGAGCATGATGACCCGTGGGTAACATACGATGGGGAGCCTTACCAGGGGCATGGTGACCATTGAGTAACATACCATGGGGCACCTTTCCCAGGGCATGGTGACCCCTTCATAACTTTTCCCAGGTCCTTTTCTGCAGAACTGCTACTTAGTCATTTGGAACCCCAGCCTGTAGCAGTCTATGGGATTCTTCCTTCCTAAGTGCAGGACTCTGCACTTTTCCTTGTTGAACCTCATCAGATTTCTTTTGGCCCAATCCTCTAATTTGTCTAGGTCACCCCATCCCTACCCTCCAGCGTATCTACCTCTTCCCCCAGCTTAGTGTCATCTGCGAACTTGCTGAGGGTGCAATTCATCCCATCATCCAGATCATGAATAAAGATGTTGAACAAAACTGTCCCCAGGACCGACCCCTGGGGCACTCCACTTGATACTGGGTGCCAACTAGACATTGAGCCATTGATCACCACCCGTTGAGCCCGACAATCTAGCCAGCTTTTTTCCACCTTATAGTCCATTCATCCAATCCATACTTTTTTAACTTGCTGGCAAGAATACTGTGGGAGACCATATCAAAAGCTTTGCTAAAGTCAAGATATATCACATCCATCGCTTTCCCCATATCCACAGAGCCAGTTATCTCATCATAGAAGGCAATCAGGTAGGTCAGCCATGACTTGCCCTTGGTAATCCATGTTGACTGTTCCTGGTCACCTTCCTCTCCTCCACATAGTAATATGGTGAAGACTCCAGATCACAGGCAGTCCTGGGAACCTAGCTACATTGTGTATTCTTTGTCCCAAGTGTTCTCCTCCGTGCTGGCCGGAAGCATGACATGCACAGTAGCTGGGCCATCACAGCGTTAACCTTCTCCCTGACCTCTCTGTCAGGCAAGCCCTGTATGGAGTGCCACATGGCTCTGCACACAGCAGGGTGAGGGCTGTAACTTTTCAGGAAGGTTTGTCCCCATCCAGACCTGTCCTTAACAGCCTGCTCTGCTCTTGCTCGATGTCAGGAGAGCTTATATCTGGCACTGAAGGAGGAGAAGGAAGAGGCTGTGCACCAGCTGCAGCAGGAGAAGGAGGAGCTGCTGTCCAAATGTGAGGCTGAGAAAGAGGAGCTGGCTGAGGAAGTACTGAGTTTGCAGCAGGAGCGGGATGAAAGCCTTCTCCTGTTGGAGAATGACAAGCAGACGGTAAGCAGGGAGAGCAATGGTCCTGGAGGAGCACGGGCTGCAGGAAAGCTCCAGTCCCAGCCCCTCCCAGCGGAAGGCGCTGTGGGGAGTGGTATAGCATGCTGGCTGTGGGGAACCCAGAGAAGGGCTCTGGGGATCTCAGAGGAATGGAGAACATACCTTACAAGAGAAGACTTAAGGAGCTTGGCTTGTTTAGCCTAACCAAATGAAGGCTGAGGGGAGATATGACTGTTCTCTATAAATGTGTCAGAGGGATAAACACCAGCAAGGGAGAGGAGTTATTTAAGTTAAGCGCCAGTGCAGAACAAATGTCTATAAACTGGCCATCAACAAGTTTAGGCTTGAAATATACAAAGGTTTCTAACCATCAGAGGAGTGAAGTTCTGGAACAGCCTTCCAAGAGGAGCAGTGGGGGAAAAAATCTAACTGGCTTCAAGCCTGAGCTTGATATGTTTATGGTGGGGATGGTATGTTGAGGTTGCCTACAATGGCATGTAGCCAATCTGCAACTGCTAGCAGCAAATATCTCCAATGGGCGGAGACAGGACACTAGATGGGACGGGACACTAGACGGGACACAGAGAATTCTTTCCCAGGTGTCTGGCTGGTGGGTTTTGCTGAAATGCTGAGGGTCTAATTGATTGCTATATTTGGGATTGAGAAGGAATTTTTACCCGGGTCAGATTGGCAGGTTTTCGCCTTCCTCTGCAGCATGGGGCAGGGTCACTTGCAGGTTTAAGCTAGTGTAAATGGTTGATTCTCTGTAACTTCAAGACTTTAAATTGTGATTTGAGGACTTCAGTAACTCGGTTAGGGGTCTATTACAGGAGTGGGTGGGCAAGGTTCCGTGGCCTGCAATGTGCAGAAGGTCAGACTAGATGATCATGATGGTCCCTTCTGACCTTAAAGTCTATGGGTCAGTGAGACTACTTCAGGCCCAGCCTATGCCAGCGGGAGGCGCTGTGGGTAGTGATTTCAAGTGCTGGGTGTGGGTAACCCCACAGCCACTACAGGCTCAGCCTGTGCCAGCAGGAGGCTCTTGATTGAATGGCATAACAGTGCTAGCTGCAAGGAAGTGTACAGCTACTGCAGTCCTAGCAGGGGGTACCTGTGGAGAATGTCCTTCCCTCCCAATATGCTGAGCTCCTGCACTTGACCTTCCACGTGTGCCATTCTTGAATGATGGCTCCTGTCTGTTGCATCCTGCCAGGCGCTGTCCCTGAAGGAAACAGAGAAGAGTCTACTGTCAGAGAAGCTCAGTGAGGCCCAGCGGGAGCTTATGAATGCCAGGATGGATATTGACCGGGTGAAGCTGGAGGCTCTGAACCGCCAGGAGCAGGATAAGGTGAGCTCAAATCCTTCTCTAGACACCATGTGGCCCAAACAGTCATGTGCCCTGCAGGATCCTGCAGGCTGGAGTTCTGCTATGGCCAGCCCTGCAGCAGGAAGGTGCTTAAGCACATGTCGAATTCCAGGCATGTGAGTGATCCCATTGAAGCTGATGAGTATGAGTAATGGACAGGATTGCCTGTTTATCCTCCATGTTGCTAGCCGGTTATTTGAAAATGGCCTGGGCCAGCAAGCTCCAGATGAATTCTGGGATACAACAGGAGGGATGATAGGAGTTGGACCCATAGTCAGACAGTTCCTCTGCACACCGACTGGTATCTCCTAATCTGCCGTGAAAAGTACCCAGAATGCATAGTGCCTAGAAACAGCAGTTGGTGCCTGGGATACCTACCTGCAGTGCAACACGCTTATGGCAGTACAGCACTGTGCAATGTGGATGTGAAGCTTCAAAGGGGAAGTAGCTTTAACCTGGGGCATGTGCACAGGATGGACACACAGTCAGTGCCGTTACATTGGTCCACTTAGATCGATACATACTAGACTGCCACAACTTCTGCATGTAGACAGAGCCTTGCTATGAGAATAAAAACTCGTTTGGGTGGAGAAGTGAACAAGTCTTTCACTGCCTCTGTTAAGGCTAAATCCGCACTCTGGCACTTCAAGTGCAGAAGGGGAGGCCTCCAACGATTCTAAAAGTTAATACTGGCCACTCCAGGCTTATATTAAACTCCCAAGGTTACAGCTTTATTCTGACCTCGGATTGGTAGATGCTGCCATCACCCAAGTACAGAACCCCTTTAAGAGCCCAGGAAGGCACACCTGGGAATTCCTTTCTGTGGGATACCCTCAAGCCCTTTCACCTCCGTAGGTAACACATCCCAGTGTTTCACCACCCTCCTAGTGAAAAAGTTTTTCCTAATATCCAACCTAAACCTCCCCCACTGCAACTTGAGATCATTACTCCTCGTTCTGTCATCAGCTACCACTGAAAACAGTCTAGATTCATCCTCTTTGGAACCCCCTTTCAGGTAGTTGAAAGCAGCTATCAAATCCCCCCCTCATTCTTCTCTTCCGCAGACTAAACAACCCCAGTTCCCTCAGCCTCTCCTCATAAGTCATGTGTTCCAGTCCCCTAATCATTTTTGTTGCCCTCCGCTGGATGTTTTCCATGTTTCCACATCCTTCTTGTAGTGTGGGGCCCAAAACTGGACACAGTACTCCAGATGAGGCCTCACCAATGTCGAATAGAGGGGAACGATCACGTCCCTCAATCTGCTGGCAGTGCCCCTACTTATACAGCCCAAAATGCCATTGGCCTTCTTGGCAACAAGGGCACACTGTTGACTCGTATCCAGCTTCTCGTCCACTGTAGCCCCTAGGTCCTTTTCTGCAGAACTGCTACCTAGCCATTTGGTCCCTAGTCTGTAGCAGTGCATGGGATTCTTCCGTCCTAAGTGCAGGACTCTGCACTTGTCCTTGTTGAACCTCATCAGATTTCTTTTGGCCCAATCCTCTAATATGTCTAGGTCCCTCTGTATCCTATCCCTACCCTCCAGCGTATCTACCTCTCCTCCCAATTTAATGTCATCTGCAAACTTGCTGAGGGTGCAGTCCACGCCATCCTCCAGATCATTACTGAAGATATTGAACAAAACTGGCCCGAGGACCAACCCTTGGGGCACTCTACTTGATACCGGCTGCCAACTAGACATGGAGCCATTAATCACTACCCGTTGAGCTCGACAATCTAGCCAACTTTCTATCCACCTTATAGTCCATTCATCCAGCCCATACTTCTTTAACTTGCTGGAAAGAATACTGTGGGAAACCGTGTGAAAAGCTTTGCTAAAGTCAAGGAACAACACGTCCACTGCTTTGCTCTCATCCACAGAGCCAGTTATCTCGTCATAGAAGACAATTAGATTAGTCAGGTATGACTTGCCCTTGGTGAATCCAGGCTGACTGTTCCTGATCACTTTCCTCTCCTCTAAGTGCTTCAGAATTGATTCCTTGAGGACCTGCTCCATGATTTTTCCAGGGACTGAGGTGAGCCTGACTGGCCTGTAGTTCCCAGGATCCTCCTCCTTCCCTTTTTTAAAGATGGGCACTACATTAGCCTTTTTTCAGTCGTCTGGGACCTCCCCCGATCACCATGAGTTTTCAGAGATAGCGGCCAATGGCTGTGCAATCACATCCGCCAATTCCTTTAGCACTCTCGGATGCAACACATCCGGCCCCATTGACTTGTGCTTGTCCAGCTTTTCTAAATAGTCCCGAACCACTTCTTTCTCCACAGAGGGCTGGTCACCTCCTCCCCATGCTGTGCTGCCCAGTGCAGTAGTCTGGGAGCTGACCTTGTTCATGAAGACAGAGGCAAAAAGAGCATTGAGTACATTAGCTTTTTCCACATCCTCTGTCACTAGGTTGCCTCCCTCATTCAGTAAGGGGAAGACACTTTCCTTACTTTCTTCTTGTTGCTAACATACCTGAAGAAACCCTTCTTGTTACTCTTAACATCTCTTGCTAGCTGCAACTCTAGGTGTGATTTGGCCTTCCTGATTTCACTCCTGCATCCCCGAGCAATATTTTTATACTCATCCCTGGTCATTTGTCCAATCTTCCACGTCTTGTCAGCTTCTTTTTTGTGTTTAAGATCAGCAAGGATTTCACTGTTAAGCCAAGCTGGTCGCCTGCCATATTTCCTATTCTTTCTACACATCAGGATGGTTTGTCCCTGTAACCTCAATAAGGATTCTTTAAAATACAGCCAGCTCTCCTGGACTCCTTTCCCCCTCATGTTATTCTCCCAGGGGATTCTGCCCATCAGTTCCCTGAGGTTGTCAAAGTCTGCTTTTCTGAAGTCCAGGATCCGTATTCTGCTGTTTCCTTTCTTTCTTGTGTCAGGATCCTGAACTCGACCATCTCATGGTCACTGCCTCCCAGGTTCCCATCCACTTTTGCTTCCACTACTAATTCTTCCCGGTTTGTGAGCAGCAGGTCAAGAAGAGCTCTGCCCGTAGTTGGTTCCTCCAGCACTTGCACCAGGATAATTGTCCCCTACCCTTTCCAAAAACTTCCTGGATTGTCTGTGCACTGCTGTATTGCTCTCCCAGCAGATATCAGGGTGATTGAAGTCTCCCATAAGAACCAGGGCCTGCGATCTAGTAAACTTCCATTAGTTGCCGGAAGAAAGCTTTGTCCATCTCATCCCCCTGATCCTGTGGTCTATAGCAGACTCCCACCATGACATCACCCTTGTTGCTCACGCTTCTAAACTTAATCCAGAGACATTCAGGTTTTTCTGCAGTTTCATATCGGAGCTCAGAGCAGTCATACTGCTCTCTTCCATACAGTGCAACCTTTTCTTCTCTGCCTGTCCTTCCTAAACAATTTATATCCATCCATGACAGCACTCCAGTTATGTGAGTTACCCCACCAAGTCTCTGTGATTCCAATCACAACATAATTCCTTGATTGTGCCAGGACTTCCAGTTCTCCCTGCTTGTTTCCCAGGCTTCTTGCATTTGTGTATAGGCACTTGAGATAACTTGCTGTTTGTCCTGCTTTCTTAGTATGAGCTGAGAAAGAAAAAAAAGGGAAATTAGCTGTGGCCACCAGTTAATTAAACAATGTGCAGAAACCTCTTAAGACACAAAAATCCAGTTTTGTCCTAAAAAAAGGTAAATTTTATTAATAAAAAAAAAGAAAGAAAGAAAATACATTTGGGAACTCAGGCTATTGCTAAATTTTAAAAGAGCAACTACAAAGATTAAGCATCGAGAATAGTTTTTTTGAGGTCTAGCTTAAAGGTTACAAGCAAAACAAAAGCACCTGGGGTTAGCACAGAGGAATCCACAAGCCATAATGAAATAAAAGGGATAAACCTAATTGCGTCTTCCTAATCTACTTACATATCTGTGGTTTTAAATGAGTAGTTTCTAGGTATGATATTGATGATTTTTTCATACCTGACCCAAGCTTCTTACAGCATAACTGCTGTCCTGCCCGCCTCTCCCCAGGAGAACAACAGACAGACAGAAGGGGAGTCTTGTTTCAATTTTAAAAAGTTCTAGCCTTCCCATTGGCTCTTTTCGCCAGGTGCCCACTCACTTCCTTTTACCTATGCATAGCAATGAGACTTTTTAACACTTTACAGGTAGAGCAGTTAGAGAACAGCTACTAAGAGGGATTTTATAGCTACTGGCTGGCTGGGTGTCCATAAAAGGGAGCCCCCCCCCACCCCCTTCATTTATCACAGCCTCCTACATGCACTGAAAAAGTGACTGATCTTACAAGTCAGATGACTTGGCCAGTCTAAATCTACTTCCTGGCTAAAGTTTGTTGTTATCAGAGTCACATCACTCTGCATAGAGTGCTGTTATGGGCCAAAATTAAGGCACATAGGCAGCCCTGTGTGCTTGACCGTTGCTTATGCTGTTGGTCCCTGTAGTTTGTTGCAGAATCCATTGTGAGGTTTCAGTGAGCTAACACAATGTTGGGGGGTTTGGTTTGATTTGGTTTTACAATCAGAAATATATGCTTGACATTTGTGGGGGCTCAGCCACCAGATAGATCATTCCAAAGGAGAACATGCACATTAAAGAATAGTCCCTTAACACCAAACAACAGTACAAGAAGGCTATAAAACTCCAATCAGAACTCGTCTGCAAAGCATTGACATTGGAAAGATTGATTGGGAACTAAAGGGAAATCAGATGCAAAGAATAACTTCCCTCAATGACTATAAACATCCCCCTACCCCCAAACATCACTGAGTGGGAGGAATGGAAATAACCTGTTGTGGTGTACTGGTGTGATCAAAAGGGGAGAGACCTTGTTCCCTTGGAAAATGTTCCATTTGATTCCCTGGGCCCACTTGTATTCTCATTGAAGTCAAAAGAAAAAGTTCCCTTGATTTCTATGGGGAAAGGATGGACTTTCATCTTTAACCCCGAGGTGGGATGTGCAATTGTGTGAATAACTAGACTGTAAACC